TATTACATTTTAATAACTATAATTATTTATTTTAATTTAATTCAGTTTAAATACATTTAAATATGCATTGTTAATATACTATGAAACATGTACTTTATATGCAATTTAATAATAATTTCTCTATAAGGTTTAAATATAAAAATTTTTACTTTATTATATAAAGACTATTTTAAAAAATTATTCATTTAATTCTTGATTTAAAATTGAATATTGTTTAATTATATATAATAAATATTTAATAGATATACGTAAGAATATCTTGAAGTAGATAAATTGGCTATATAATATTAAAGAAAAGTATTAAATTACATTTTATAATTTATTTATTTATTAAATTTACAATTAATATTTTTAAAATATAATTTTTACTTTCGAACAAACTTATAAGAAAATAAAATTATGAGCAGAGATTATAGTTGCAATAATCAGATTTCAATAAAGGAAAAAAAAGGAAAATAAAACAATAAAATTAAGAAGTAGGCACATTGATTCAATTATTTATTATTCATTGAGTTAATGTTTCATTTATCAGTTTCGATATAAATTCGGAAAATTGAATATAAACATGAATTAAGATTTTTTATACAAATAAAAAATCTGAATCTTGACTTTTAAATTTAGTACGTAATCAATGTGTTTGAGATTACGAGAACCTCTCGTGAGTTATTAAACATCTGAAAAGATCTAAAGTGTACTTACTACTACAGAGAGTGGCATACTGTAATTGAAGAAGCCGAAGAGAGAGGCGCTTTCATCGGTGACGCCGGTGCTATTAGCGGTGATGACACAGGCACAAGCGCTGCTAAATAGAGAAGCTAAGGAAGTAGTAACAGGCCCTTACTGGTGATACTATAGGGATCAAGCTCTAAGTACGACCAAGACTTCAAGGACGAAGCAGGGACTTACCCTTGAGACTATAGCGATAAAGCTGTAAGTACGGCCGCGATAAAAGGAAGAGACGCGTCAATTCTCCTGTGCTGCAAAGGGTTTTGACACTATCTTCTTCATAGCAAGTATACAAAGTCTGCATTGCCAGTTCTTATTAGACTGGAATGACGGAGTGAGTACTGTTCATCACAGGATCAGATCAAGGCTACTGTATCGCTGTGAGTATATAGTCTGTATTGTCATTGCCAGTCCTTATGAGACTGGGATGACGCAATTATTAAAACAGCATAACACACACTCGCTAATAAGGAGTGCGCTACTCAGTTGTTGACCCTTACAAAATCAACACAAATCATCATAAAGGAGCATCTTGTGTAGAAAACCATCCACCACAATACAGATACAAGCAATCGTATCTTTGTCATTAAACGTATGATACATTCTTCCATCTAATAAATTCAACACATTTTTAATGTAATTGTAAATAAAATATAATAAACGATATTTATCGAAGAAACACATACTGTATTTCAACAGCCCATCCACTTGACTCCTTCCCAAGCATTTGCTAAGGCAAGCGGCAATTATAAGACTATCGAAACACTGGCAGTTCGAAACAGGAAAACAAATTTCGAACAAAATGTGTCAATAACTAAAATAACCATAGCTAGAAATTGTTATTATAAAATTAATCTTTATTTCAGTTAAATTCATTCATTATAAATTATTTCAGTTAAAAAGTTAAATATTATTATTTTCAAGAATATTCAAAACACATTTAACACGAAAATTGAAATCTTATAAAAGTATAAGTATTTAAACATTATTTTCTTGATTAAATTGATATTCAAATGTATTCCATTATTTGTTTTCTTTTCTCTAATTATTATTTGAAATATATATTTTGTGTGAAATCTCACGTCAAACTATAAAAATAAAAGTAAAGTATTTAGATAATTATAATTTATTATTTTATTTTATTTGAATGTATTTCGTAATCATTTGACTGTATATATTTTTAATTAATATATAGTATACAATTAATATATTTTAGATTAATGAATAAATAAATATTTATCTAATTGTACCGCTTCTTTTTATTATTATTTATTACAAGTATATTTTATAAAATTTAATCAAATGAATATAATTATTATAAATGAAAATACAGTGTGGAAAATATTAGTAAAATAATCATACAAAAAAAGTAAAAATGTTTATTAGAAAGTAACTGAAGATATGTTTTCTGCTATAATATAAAATATAAACATAGCAATGTCATTTTCATTTAAAATGTCAAATTTTTCAAATTCTGTTATGTTGTACTTACTGTCGCCTAAATATTTTCATAAAATATAGAATTCCAAAACCATCTTGACGAATGTGACATAATTCGTGAATCATATTAGTTTGTGTTTGAATTTTTCTAAAAAATTATCAACTGCTTTTGGCTTGTAGTCTTTTACTAATATTATTATATACTTCTTCTCATATTATAAATATTAGATCGTAATAAAATAAATTGTAATATTCAATGAAAGAATATTCCTATTTAAAAATTATACTAATAAATGTTATTTCTTATTGAACTAAATTTTCTAATTTAAAAAGCTCATTCTTTTTTACAAACTATCATATGTATATCATCGAAAAATTAATTACTTGTACACAAAAAATTTAATTGCTATATATAATAGTAACTATATAATGTTGTATAACAATTTTTGAATAGCAATTATTTGTTAGAGCTATAAAAAAAAATTTGATTGTTTTTTGCTTTGTTTTTCTTGCAAACGAACTATTTTGTAATGACATTCTGTAATTTTATTATTTAATCTATTTTTGTAATATCAAACAATAATAAAAGCTTTTTTTTTATTATCTAGAAATACCAAATTCTAAGTTTTAAACAAAAGTATATAGCCATATTTATATAAAAATTGTATTGTTATAAAAAAGGTATCATTTTTGTATATGTTTTACGTTATATGATAAACCTTAAATCAAAATCATAATGGCTGTTTTTAATTTTTTTTTTAATTAAAAAATTCAAGCTTTAAGAGATATAGGAGATTAAAATAAAATAATTTTACATATAATAATTATAATTGAAAAAGGTTTTTAATACAATTTTATTAACTTGACAATTTAAAATTACTATTCAAAAATTAAAAAAATTCTAACATACATAACGGTAGACAAATATTAAAAATGCATCTTTAATAAAATCACATTCTTCTTAGCATTTATAATTCTGGAATTAATTTTTTTTTAATAAAATATAACATTCAATAAAAATAATTATAGACTAAATATATTCGATTTTATAAATTTTTCGTATTTTACACTTTGCTGTTTCATCCCCTTTAACATGTTAATTACTGATAAAGAAACGAAATGTTCATTTACAGTACTTTATTTTTGTGTAACATAATTGACTGCTTTATAAAATCCGCTTAATATGTAAAATGGATAAATTAGCTTATATAAAAAGAAAACAAAATTAAAAGAATTTGCGTAAAATGAACAAAAAGGCTAATTTTAAATTATCACATATTATAAATTGAACTATGAAAAAAGCAAATTTCACTACACATGAAGAAAGTATAAATTCGAAATCATTAATTTTAAAGCATACCACTCTTTTGGAAGATTATTAACATATAATTATTTATTTCGTCGACTAATTATTTGTATTTAAAATAATTTTGAATAGTATTTTTACTATTGTATTGTATTTTACTAAGAGTTTAATTATTTTCTTAGCTCAAATAATTTCCTAAGTTTTAAAATAACGATATTTTTACATTTATTAAAGGATTTGGATAATCGAAAATATTCTGATAGACGTTTTCTCAATTTTGTATATTTTATTCACTCAGTTGTAATTTGAAACATGTAGTTCTTCTGGGAGTATTTAAGAAATAGATGTTTAATAATAATTTCGTTAAAAATAATAATTAAGTAGATATGTAAATAAATATATATAATATTTTTAAAATATAAATATTAATTATCATTAACTCTCTTAGTTATGGTAAAAAGATTACGTAATAATAATAAATTGAATTAATAAATATATATAAAGTTATTTATTTAATTTTTATTTTTTGAAACGTATACAGTAGATTTCAACATATAATACAATATAATCTTAATATTTCTAACGGTGATTAAGAAAAAATTAAATAAAATGTAACGAGAAATACGAATAAAATATGAGATTCATACGTGTGTCAAAATTAATATTTGCAGTGGAAATAAGGAATATGATATAGCTATGTTATCGTCTATATAAATTAATTAGTAAAATAATATAATTTTAGTTGTTAATTTGAACACATATGTAAAAAACGTAATACTGCAGCAACTTAAACCTAAATTTGTTAAATGAATAATATAATTAAAATAAATACTATAACTTTGTTACGTATAATATGTATCTCAAGAATGAATAAACTTTTAAACAAGTTTGCTTCTTAAGCTTTTCATTACAAGTATATTGTTATTTTATATATTAAGTTAGATTAATATTTAGATCGATACTTAAATCGTGTTTAAATCATATATAAGCAAATGCAGGTAAACAATTTTTAGATTAAATTCAAAGTATTTAGTATTAAATACTAATGAAAAATGTAGATAAATATACCTACATATTATAATTATTATTGTGAAATATTTTTCGTTGCTTAATATCATAGGTATTATTAATTTGGTGAAAAAAACCTCATTGCTTATTTTTATGGGTATTAAATAATATCACTAGTCCTTTCATCAATACCAGTCTTTTAACTTGACATTGTCAAAACATTACATACTGCTCTGGATGAGAATTTCTAGCATTTATTTTCTGCACTAAACATTTATATATTTATGTATTACTAACTATTATTGAATCGATTATAAATATAATTTATAAATATAATTTATTACATAATTTTTAAAACAGCTTATGAATTCTTTGTTATTCTATGAATATATTAATTATTATTCGTCCGAATTCTAAGTTATATATCTATTAATTTAATCAAAATTATATGAAAATTATTTTAAAAACATTCAAAATTAGTTGCATAATAAATATATCTATTTTATATGTGATACCATAGGTCCTCCAGGTCGTCCTGGACCAGCTGGAAAACGTGGCAAAAAGGGAAAAAAAGGTGATCCCGGTGAACCAGGGGCTCCGGTAAGTTTTTTGCACAGGTATTTTTTGTAATATATATATATTATTCAATTAAAAATTATTAAAAAAAATTTTTAAAGCAATAAAAATGAGTCAAGAATTTAAATTAATATTATTTCTCGTAGAATTTACGAAATTTGATATTTATAATTATTTTTACATTTCATCATATTTATAAATATATAAGTACATTATTTATAAAGTATATAATAAATTTATAATTTTTTATTATTTAAAATTTTTTTTTTTAAATTTAATAAAAATTCGTATATTATTTATCTGCTTTAAGAATAGATTAAAAATCCAATATTTCAAATATGCATTATACTATTAATAAATAATAACAAAATAATAGTGCAGAGATTGTAGATTTTTTTTTAATTCTATTTTGCAATTATTTAATATTAAGTGCTTCTAATACTAATTTGGCTTTAGTAACAGTAAACTAAATATAACTTTAATTAATAGTTAATAATATATAGTAACATTATAAAATTCTAAATATCATTTTTTTTGTAATGATCAACAGCATTAAATTTTTTCTTTAACTGATTTTTAAACATTGTTTTACTATAATATATTAATTAAAAGAATGAGTATTATATTAACCAACATATATTGAATAATCATAATTCGAAAGATACATATTGTATTCAAACAAGGTATTTTATGAGTTTTATAATTACTGAAATGTGTCAATTATAAAAAGTAATTAGAAATTGTTTTTTAGTATATATTTTAGTAGATAATAATAATAATAATATACAGTAATTATTAAAAAATATTGTAACATGTATTAATGTTTTTTTTAAATAAAATTAATTTTCAAGAAATAAAAATGTTATAATACAAAATTTAAATAAAATTTTATTTTAATGATATTTAGAACTAGTAAAAAAGACTATTTATAGTTCTTATGTATAATGAATACAATGTTTATGAAAATGTAGAATAAACCATAGCATGTTAGAATGTAGTATATAACATTATTTGTTAATATTTAATAACATTTCTTTTAGGGTGAGCCAGGTACGGCAGGCATGAATGGTTTTCCGGTATATGTTTTTTAATTTTTCCTTTTATTTCTAGCTTTTCTTTCTCACCGATTTACTAGACTATTTATACCTATACTGTAGCTTATAGTTAGAAAGTTTTTATTTGCTTCCAAATAAGATAAATTTTGATAAAATCATCGACAATGCAAGAAAATTCAAATAATTAATATCAGATTATTACTAATAATAATATTAATTTTAAGATCAATTTTATTTAAAGAAATAATTCATAAAGTGAATAATTATTAAAACGATAGTATAATGATGACAAAATATGAATAGCGATTATAATTAAACTATATTATTTATATACTAATTCTAAAAATACATATCAAATTAATAAATATTTATATCTCGATGTATTAAAAAATGAATTATAACTTATATTTTGAAAATTAGTATTATTAAAAGTGTAATATTTTTCTGTAAATTTATAAATCGGCATTGTCATCCTTTGGTACATCATAATTAAAATTTACTAATTTAAATTCAAATTCAATTTCTTATAAGCTTTTTTCATAACTGAAAAGTATATAGATATATGCGTAGGATATCATAATTATATAAATATTTTATGGAATAATATATAAATTATTGCATACATAAGAATTGCTGTTAATCTATTATATAAAAAAGTAAAATTAAATATGTATACTAACATATAATTATAATTTAAAGTTTATTGAAATTGCAATTTCTAATTAATGGATTGATCATCCTCGTTTTTGCTATAAATGTCATTTTTATCAATTAAATAAATTAAAATATATAAATGTTTATATGAAAATTCATATCTAAAACTAATATGAATATTATTTTTAAAAAATGAATAATTCTGTAAAAATTATGTTAATGATCATGGTACTGTAATAATAAAAATGTACCTATAATTACCATAAATATGTTCTATGTACAATCGATTTAGAAAAAGCGAGTGTTTAATTTAATTTTTGTAATATAAATTTAATATTTTTATGTAGAAGATAAAAATATAAAAAAATGTTATATATATATAATATTACAATTTTAGAGTATAGTATAGTAGTTTTTTATATCAAAATTAATTCTTGTAATAGATAATATTAATATAATTATTATAATAATATTGATAAGAATAATATTGTTATTAGTATGATGATAACAATAACATAATAGAACTATGTAATTTATTCAAAATATAAATCTAGTTTACAATAATACATTGATTAATAATTGTAAATGTAACATTAACATAAATTTATACCATCTTTTTAATTTATTTTGTTTTAGACACAAATAAACGCTATAATTGGCAATATATTTTTTATATTATTAAATCAAATAAATTCATGATTTTCTTATATTTTTCAGGCCTTGTTTTTATTATTTATAATTTAAAAAAATTAAAATAAATAGTATTAAAAATTTATAAATTTTAAATGATGTACTTCTTTAATATTTGGGTTTGGGACATAAAACATGACTTAAAGATGTTGTAAATGAATTGTTTCAAGTTGTATTTTACAAAGTGGAAGAATGAAAACCATATAATTCTACTTCTTAACAGATAATACCACGTCTATACAATCATGATATGAGTACATGTCAAATTTCGTTATATTCGGATACTTAACTGTCGTTCATTCGAACTTTTAATTAATATTTGATAGCTACGGATCATACTTGTTGCTATATGACAATAATTATTGCTCGATAACAATAATTATAATTTTTATATAGTTGCTGCTATCTCTATCACTATTGTAGGAAATTTCTTTGTCTTGTTGTCGTTTTTTTCATAATAGATTAAATAAATACATGTAAGTGTACATAAGAAATGCTTTTTAGAAAATACTCAATTGATTGTAATATGAATTAATTTTAATTATATACATTTTATATATCATATTAATAATTGAAAAAATTATTTAATATTGTGTATAATAACATTATTATTATAAATATTCATTATATTTCCTTATATTTCTTCGTCAAATAGCTATATATTATTTTTATATAAAATAAAGACCCGATAATATACCAATTACGTCTAAATTTAATTATAAAATAAATATAGAGTAATAAGATAATCTGCTTAATCATATGGGATAACTTGGTGCACAACTAAAGTAAATAAAAGTAGATAATTTTAAATTAGTTTTAAGAAATGCCACGATATATCTAATTTTAAATTTTTCATAACATAATTTTCACGTTCTAAATAAGTATCAGAAATATATTTTTCTCATTTAAAAACATTGAAAATATTATTAAAAGTATCTACATATGACTATTTTAAAGAAAGTAAAAATTAAAATTAATTATGAATTTATGAAAATTATTATTCATTTAATAATGTTGTTTTATTATAAACAAAATTTTAAAAAATATATAGTGCAAAAGCAATTTGTACATTCAATAGTATATATTAATATAAAACTGATTTTTTAAGTAAAAGAAATTGAAGATATTAAAATCGAATTTCAAACTAAAAAGTCTTTATATTTATGCAAACATATTTTTAATCTAAAATCAAATAATAACGATAGTTTTATTAAAACTCAGAAACCAAATGAATTAACTTACATAAGCAAAGCAAAAACTTAAGTATATATGATTATAAGTTATCCTTTATGAATCTTATATTATCTAAAATTTTATCTCATAACATATAGACTCATGCTCTTAAGCGTAGAATTATTTTTAAAATAACTAAATAATTTTTGTTTAAAGTATCAAATATATTAAACATAAATAAAATAATTTATAATAATTAAATTAGGTTAAATTTAAAAAATAGCAGGTGAAATGGCATGTTATTAATCAATAAATATTTTTACACCAATACATATAATAAAAATACCAAACTTTATTCTAATAAAATATTTTTTCATTAGCCCGTACGTAACATTAGAATATACTTTATAATTTCTATATTATTTATTAAGAATATTTTTTTCTTGCATTGTCAATGCACTGTAATAAGTGAATAAACTTCAGCATATTGCAATTTTTCTATGTTGACATTCTAACATAAAAGATTTCATAAAATAATGATATTTATACTCATAAGACTGTTGACTATTATAACATTTTACTTTTACTAGAAATTGATATAAATTGGTTTTGACGTTGACATAATATTTGGTGTATAATTTAATTTTTTAATTCTAAATTGAAAATTGTGAATAGAATTTATTATACTACAGTAATTTGAGTAGTGTATTCATAATAAGTAAGTACTAGTAAGTAGCAGTAAATAATGAGTACACATAATGTAAGATCTAGTATTTGGAAGCAGTTTTACACAGTCGCCTACTTTTACTCAAAACTTTTTACTTTTTCTGTATTTCATTTCTTGTTAATCAGCATACTCGATAAATATTTTTATCTTCAATAATTATATTTTTATTGCTTCAACTTTTCTACCACTCGCTGAATATGCTAAATTACAGTATAAACATTGTTTTTTTCGTTTTAGGGTCCCATTGGTTTAGATGGACCGAAAGGAGATGCGGTAAGTGTTTGTTTATTTAAAGAAGTATGTATCATGTATATTTATTGTTACTTCTGCTTTGTGAAGAATTTGTATGTTTATATAATATATTAAAAAGATGATTTTCTACGACTTTTCTTCTAGATTTGTAACTACCTAACAAAATTTAAAATAAATTTTTATATATAATTTATGGATCTTATAATTGGTAAATTAATCAATCGTTTAATATTTTTCCCTGGTAATGTAAGTTCTATGTATAAACAAAAAAATTAACATACCAAATATATTTCAATTATAAATTATTAAAAATAATATAGTAATATTTTAATTTCCTTAACTAATCATTTTTATAAATATTATGTACATTCTTACTTATATATAAGTATATAGTCTAAACTTACAAAATAATTGATCAGATGAAGTTTAAAATAATAAATATCTTATTTAATTTTGACATTTTAATATATAATAGATTGAAAATAAATAAAGCATAAAAGTATAAAAGCACAAGATTATTCAGACCAATGGTAATGAGAAAAATGTTTAGAATATTTGTGCTTATTAATAGTTAATCTATTTTTATATTATTTACTGTTATTATATCAATGAAATAATAATATAAGATTATTTTTAACGATGTTTGTCTTATTCCAAAGAAAATGTTGACGTAATGTTTTGTAATATAGATAACATATTAATTGAAATTCACTTGTGGAATGGGTATTATTTGTAGTTGTACAGCATTTTTTCTGTATATAATAGATTGTAATAAATTACGTCTTATTTCAGGGGCGACAAGGAGATAAAGGACAAAAAGGAGAACTCGGAAGTCCTGGATTTGATGTTTTTTCGGCGGTAAAGGTATCTATTATAAAAAAAGCTTATGAACTAAATCGTATTCTCGTTACTATCTCATCGTCGTCTATCACAAAAAACAATTTCTCATTATTGGCAAATAATTTTATTTAAATCTACCATTATGTAATTACCAAACCGAATTACTAAAGTTCATTTTTACTTTTTTGTTTTAAAACGTTTTCCACTTTTAATTAAAACTACACATACGTATAAAAAACATTACCCAAACTCTAGGCTATTGAACAGAAAACGTTTGTAATTTTAAACATGTTTCTTTATATTTACTACATACAATGAGCAATTTATTCAAATTTTTTATTAATAATTATCACTAACTTAAAAATATAATTCATCAATTTACATTTAATTGAAATTTATTAAGTTCAAACCTTATATTAAATAGCTTTCATTATATTCGTATAACTAAAGCATTATTTTTAACAATATATAATATTGATAAAGATTTTATTTCAACAAAAATTAGATATAAAAACTATGACTTTATTTTTAAAATAAATTCAATTTAATAGCACTGCACAAAATTTAGTATTTCTTAAAATATTAATTAGAATTAAAAAAATATTATTATTTATAATTAATTTTGAATGTACAATGTAATCAATAATATTTTAGTATAACTGAATATATTTTGTTTTATATTTTACAAACTTTTAATTTTTGTTTATAATTTTTAATAAATAATTATAATTATAAAAATTAATTATGAAATTTATAATATGCTTTGAAAATCAAAATAGCATTTAAATTAATTAAAAATATTAAGAAATCCGTAGTCTATATGCGTAATTTTTTTATTTCAGTACAATACTGTATCCATGCTCTCTCTCTCTCACACCCCCCATATCTTCCACCCTCTCCCTCTCTAACTGTTTTATTTTATGTTTTATCTGTATAAATATTGTTTCATCTTTTTATTTTCTATTCAGATATGCCATGATTAAAACTTCCATTATATTAATTTAAGCAAAAGTAATGACTTATTTTAAAGTAATAATAGTGCACTAACGGGATTGTTATAAAACTATTGTACTAAGTATAATAATATAAAATTCGACTATCGAGATTATTCGAATATTTTTAAAAAAACCAAAATAATAAAACTAAATATAATCAACATATTTGAATTGAAATATTAACTAGTTATTAACTATTACTAGTTTACTAGTTTATTGACTAGTAACATTTAACGTGTGTGTAATCATTGAATGAAGTTAATGGAAATTTTACTCTATTTTATTTGTAATTAATAAATATCATATCAATTTAAAAAATGCGTCTGTAATTCATTACAAATTCATAATTTAAATAAGACAAAGTATTATAATAGTTGAATAAAAATCGAAACTTTATTTATTTTTTTACTAAGTTTAGATAAATATTTTCATTTTATTTGTATATTTTAAAAAATATTTCATTAGTTAAATTTATATTTTGTAAAACTGTATATGTAAATGTATTTCAGTAGATTAAATAAAAATATATTATTAAAGGTATAAAATTTATTAATAATTATGCTGTCATTTAAAACATGCAAATAAAATATAATTTAACAAATTATTATCTCAGATAATTTTAATTATATTTTTGTCGCATACCAACGATTGAATAAAAATAAATTATTTAAATTACTATTTTTTGTAAAATCTATTTTAAAAGTATTATATTAATTCTTCAAACTTACCAATATAATTAAAATTAGTTCTTCTAAAACTTTGAATCAATACATAATGTATAGAATACAATCATTTAGCTAACAGTTTTAAGAATTTTTTTAAGTAATGTTATGGACACGAATAATTTGAAAGTACTCCGATTATATTGTATAATTTTAACATTGTTTAACATTATTGTATAATTTATTTAATTTTTTTAGTAGAGCTGTATTGTATTATATTTTACATATTGCTATAATATTTTGTAATAATTATTAACTCTTTTTCTTAAGATGTTATATGTATCGAATAATTTAAAAAAAAACCCTATGAATGTTTTTAAATAATCTATGAATCAATATTATTAAATATTAATATAATAGTTTAATAAAGTGTTAAAATATAATATCCAAATTACATTTATTAGGACCGTTACCTAATAAAATCAAGCACTAATCGATTCAAATTAAATTACGATTATAATATACTATAAAAATAATTTTTAAATATTTCGTATATTTGTATGGTTTTAGCTAATCAGCTTACCTAAACAAGTATATGAATTACAGACGCATTTCCTTTAAAGCCATCTATCAGAGATATTTAAAGAACAGATAATATCGAAAAATTTTGGCCGTCGCATTGGTAAGAGCGTACGCTATACTCGTCATAGATGTTTTACCAATATTATAACAATTAAAACGAAAAAATAAAGAAAATTTTCCTGCCTACGGGTCAATGCACAGGGTTTAGGGTTAAAGAGGTCGGTGACGACGCTTCGCGGCGGAACACTCGGATATGCGGAAATCGTCGCCCTGAAGGTAAACGGCCTTCTTCAAATACAGAACTTCGTTTATTCATTAATTTGTTTTGTATAGTTTTACGTGTTTAATATTCTTTAACGTTGATCTAATGGTTATATTAATATGTATTTTCTTATATGAATTATAATATTGCTCTTGTTATTACTTATATTTAGATGTTAATGCGATTTATTTTTATAACGGTGCTTACGATATAAAATTATTATATTTCAATGTTTTTTTCTGGTTTTCATAGTGTGCTGCGGTAGGATTAATTTCACTGGCAATTGTGTATTTTATTAATTTTTATTTTTTAGGTAACAATTTTATATTTTAACAGGAATTTAATTTAATTAATATATAATTTAATTCATTTGATTTGAATTAAGACATACTCTTAATTCAATAAAAAATAATGCTTTATTTTTAAATTTTCTTTTATCATTTAAAAAAAAAAATTAAAATATTTATATAAAAAGTTATTTTCTTAGTACAGCTCAAAAACTGTATATATTCTGTATATATTTTACAGTAGATATTAATGTTTATATTTACGTAGAAACTTTTTGATTTATTTTACATTAAGTTTTCTATTAACATTTTTATTTGAAATTGTAAAACTTGCTTTTTAATAAAAGATACTTTATTTTGAAAAAAAACATAAAATAATATACATTTGTCAGTGGTATACGTTAAAAGAAATGTTTGTACGAGGCATGCTTTGTATAGTAGTGAAAATAATTCTTAAATACTTTTGTGCATGAATTTGAAAATTATTATTAATATTTATTAAATAGCATTTTGAGACTGTAATAAATTTTATTTAAAAAAATATATCTTAAAACAAATGAAAACAGTCTTTTTATTATTAAAAACTAAGAAATTTAAAATCAATAGTGTATTTTTGTTTTAAACATTATATAAAGAAATTATAACATGTATAAATAAGAGAATATTAAATAAATAAATAACTTTACTCTTGCTATATATGACTGTTTTTTATAAGTAATCCGTCTACTATTTCAATAAATTATTATTATTTTCTGTTTCATATATTAGCAATATAATGTACATATTTGATATTACAATAATAATAATAATAATATATGTTTTTATTTTCTTCAAAAATGAAATATAATTATTTTTCTTATTGATTTAATTAATTTTGATATTTTTGTGGAAGTATACTGAAATATTACGAGTTAAACAATGCTACATATAATAAAACAATCGCATCGTAGTTATATCTTTTGAATTTGGTTGGTAATGGTATATTTAATACTATATTTATATAGAATCTTAGGTGTATCTATGAATACCGTGGAGTTGATAAATGACCATGATGTCTGCAGTTAATCGCTGGATAATTGCTATACAAGAAAGTCACAGATTCTCATCTATTTTTTGATTTTATTTGTTAATTGATTGTTAAGTTTATTTTTGTTATATTAATTATATTTGTAGTGCTTGAGTTTTACCTGTAATTGGCGTACTTTCTAGGAACTTCAGGCGCAGGGACATAATATCAGCAAGGAACAGATCATAACGCTCAAAGTAAGTTTGTACACAGTTCAGGACCTACAGATGTATATCTATCAAAGTAACAAACTAATTTTTTTTTGAAAAAATTGATTAATTATGGTCCAAAAATAATCTCCATATTTATGTATATATGTGAAATAATGTGTTTTTTTGTATATGAATAATAGTAATAGTTGTTATTAAATTCAACTTCCATTTTTATTAAATGAATTTTAATTTTTATATACAAATAAATAATTTAGGATCGATTCATTTTTTAATTCTTTACAAGTTTTTTTAATTACATAAATAAATATTTATAATTTCATTTTTTTTATATTATTGGTTCCATTACCAAGCCATATTCTGCATGAAATTCTAAAAACTCAAGTTTTCTATTATTGCAATGTAGATAATAGATTTTAGTAACATTAACATGCAATATTTTATAAACATACTTGTAACTAAGTATAAAAAATATAATTATATAAAATTGGGATTTTGAAAAGTACAGTTATCTACAGTATACTTTAATTTATTTTAAAATTTTGAAAGCAATATTATTAAAATATTTGTTATATTAATTCTAATAAATTATATTTTCAAAAACAAAAATTAAAATTTTAAATTTAATCTAACTTTATATATAATATAATAGAATATGACTTGAATTATTATAATTTATTGTATTCCAACTTTAGTAAAACCAGTAACTGAATCATTGATATGGAATAAAGTGGTGAGTCTTAATAGCGCCGATTTATTTATAAAGAAGACCTGCGTATAAATAAATTTACTGTTTGGATAGAATGCAAACAAAATAAAAAACTTACAGAAAATTCTTTAAATATGAATAAAGTATAAATATTTATATAGAAAAATTTAACATGATTTAATTAATTATGTCTATCAAACAAAATAAAAAAATGATTTTGCTTCGTGTGTTGTGTGTCTGGGTGGGTGGGTGGGTGAGGGTGTAGGTGTGTAGATGTGGGTGTTAAAAATTTTTTTCGAAACTAAAATTATACAGTAAAATATTAGTTCGTTAAATTAAATTTGGAACAAATGCATCTATATAATGTAAAAATAATTGTAATAAATTATATTTTGTAGATCTTAGTTTATATTGTACATTATATTGTATGGGCATGGATAATATACATCTATTACTTAGTATTTGTATTATTAAGGTTTTTAATAATTTTGTTTAATTTAACAAATTACTAATTTGCATTTCCGTAATTACTATAATATCGGTGAAAGTATTAAAAAACTAATTACACTCATTAAAACTTTTAATTAGAGATGTATATATCTGATAAATAAAAAAAGGAAATGGTTTTGCATGAGAAATAAAAAAAAATTATTTTTCACCCTTCGATTGAGAGTATTTGGCATTGTTATTATATAGTATACTTATTTATACAGGGTGAACAAGGAGAACCAGGTCCGCCAGGACCTCCTGGTCCCGAAGGAGTCAAAGGCACACCGGGAAATGACGGCAGCCAGGGATTGCAAGGTGAAATTGGACCTGCAGGTGAAAAAGGCGCAGCGGGACCTATAGGACCCCCAGGCCCGCAAGGACCTTCTGGAACTATTGGTTCTAAAGTAAAACCATATTCTTAATATATTTCTATTTTTATATTGTTCTTTTGTATTTGTTAATATAAAATTTTAATTATTTGCGACTGGTGCATAGAATATTCTTACTATGGTTCTGTATGTAATTAATTTTTAACCTTTATATCATAATAATCTTATGATTTTCTTACTGTCCAGTAATAAAAATGATTTATTTTTCGATAACATATCTGAACTAATCATTTTTTAGTATAAATTAAAATGGATTAAAAGTAATTTAATTACAACAATACAAAACTATGCTAAATTATTCTGATTTATTTACAGTACTTTTTTGCATTATTATTTTATTCTTTTATTGAATCATTCAGAAATTTTAAGTTTGAATTAACTTTAAAATAAATTAATTTAAAAAATGCTAGTTATCATACAATTAAATGGTTCATATTATTACATATTTAGTGAACACGTAAAATATATTTAGAGAAATATACACTATAAAATAAAATTACTCTTTGTAATGTTTTTTATAGCCAGTTTGAATTTTATTTTTAATAAAATTATATATTTACATTGTTTTTAATAAACAATATCAAGTACAAATTATGTAAATTTCTTTTTTACTTACTATTTAATTACATTAGAGCCTATTATTTTTTAATAAGACAGAATCAATTCGAATATTTATTATGTATGTATTGGAATATAATTAATACATTTTAAGCAAATTAGTAATAACTAGAAGTGTTATTTCTTTGATCTCTTCACAATTAATAATTTGGCAAATTTTTATATTTGTATTTATTTAAAATTTTTTGTGTCTGTAACTATAATTATTACAAGCATTATGATTTTAATATAAAGATTTTTTCAAAATCTTATGAATCTACCGTATTAAATAAATATTTTTGAAGTATTATATGTTTGTACTAATAATTTTTATAATATTTAAATTAATATTCGTACAATATTTCAATTATCACATATTTTTATGACTATTTGTAATTAAATAATGTTTTAATAATTATTACGATATAAAGAATTGATACTATTTAATCTTTTTTATTCTTTCTAAATAAGAATACAGTTTATATTAACTTTCTATTGTAATGCATTTATAATCAAGTATTTATATTTCAATATATCTTTATCATAACTCTATTTATATATATGACAAGTAAAAATACTTTATTACACATGGCAACGTCTTGTAAAAATACTAATAGAAATAGCAAATTGTTTGTGTGTTATATTTTAAATAACAATAATCAATTGTTCTAAATATAATTTTAATTATTCGATTAATGGAACACCCAAAACTTTAGAATTAAATAATATACTGAATAAAACAAAGGAAAATAATGTTTTCAAAGTATATTTTTAGAGTAACATTAATTATGTAGTATTATATCAATCCAAATAATTCTTCTGATAAAACATTAATAATATGGATGAATGAGATTGTTATAAATTACTATACATATTTTATGGCTGTGTATTCTAATTTTTGAGACTTTATTTAAAATGGCGACTATTATAATAATAAAACGAAAAATTTACTTCTTTTTTTTTAAACATTTTCCAGGGTGATAAAGGTGACAAGGGTGAGCGTGGTTTAACGACGTCTATAAATGGCGAGCCATTTGCGACAGGTGTTTTCGAGGGGCCTCCTGGACCCCCAGGACCACCTGGTAAGTAAATTTCATGCTGAATACTGAATTAGTAGATCATTTAGAATTTATGGTCAAAACTCTTATTTTGGACATAAATATTATTATTTATAACTAATATATAAAAATACTGTTTTTTTGGAATATTTAATTACTTCATCTTAATAATTTTTGAAAGCAAAGAAAAACCTCATATATACATCAAAAGCCTTTATTTTTAATAATATGCATTCTAAATTTACTGAATCAATTGTTAATAATTTTTATAAGTAATTATTTATATAATTATTAACTGAAATATGCTAAACTCCAAATGAATTTATCTATTGACGTACGAGATTTAAAAGTAATAAGCAATTAAATCTATTAAAATTCTATTATAAGTCATAAAATAAATAATTCTGCACGTGTACACATTGTACAACAAATTTTCCTTTAATATGAATTACAAGGACATATATATTTGGAAAATAATGTTTAAATGAAAGCATTAAACATAATAATGCGTGAATGAGAAGGAAATATCTAAGGTATTTTAAAGACAAAAGGTGAACTGTTTAAAAATGGGTAGTTATTCCATGAGTAACAATTTATAAGTACCGACGACTTCTCTTTATAAAAATGTTCTTTGGGGACAAATTAGAATTTAAGTCGATATGTGAAAAGAGTTAAAATAATGTATCTTATAAAATATGAAAATAAATCATAATGAATAAATAAATTATAAAAGGAATTAAAAATGAATACATACTTTTGAAGAAATTAATAAAAAAAATCATTTTATGAAAATTACAACTGAATAAAGATTTCGAACTAAAAACATTATACCTTCTGTAAAAGATAAAAATTTCAAACAAATTTGATTAAAGACTGACTAGTTGCCATCTGTAAAACAGCAGAAAAGAATACATCGATAGACATTTATAAAATACCGTAAATAATAAAACAATTCTTGTTTTTAAATTTCTTTAAATAAATAGTATATTAGTTAGTGAAGTTGAATTAATTAATAAGAAATATAAAGGATAGCTTATATATCTGTATATCTTCTATTATTATATAAATTAATTAATTTTCTTTAATTTAATTAAAAGATTATTAGTTAAATATGAATCAACTTTTTATCATTGTCAAATTTATAAATTCTATTTTTTTTCACTGAAATATCAATTTGTTAAATTTCAATACATACATGTAATATATATTTTTTTAAATATAATAATAAGGTGTAAAATAAATATTTAGATTTTTATTTTAATAATCACGAAAATTTATTTCATTAATATTGAAAAATAGTAATCATTGATAATGTTTACAAATATAAAATTGTTTCTTATATTGTTATTATTTTCAAATAATAAACAATTTTCAATTTTATAAAAAATTTTAATTTTGTAATAAACAATTTTCAATGTTATATTTTTATACAAGAAAATGAATTTTTTAAATAAAGTAACGAAAAAAATAAATGATAGGCTATGAGTTTCTAAATCGAAATTTAAAATTGTGTAGAAAAATACATCAATGTTACTACAGTCATATTTATAGCATTAAATAACAATGTATAAAATAATATACAGATAGTAATGTTAAATTTTTTTATTTTTATACTAATATAGTTCAATATCTAGAGTAAAGAAAAATAATATAATACATTGACATCAAAGTTTTAAAATTTATACGAAGCTTCAGTGCCAAAGTTTCAGTGATATCGTTAATTTGAAAATATAAAATTTATTGACGAAATTATCAATTCTCTGAAATTAATTACTAAATAATGAACATACTACTTTCTTTTTTTGGTTTTTTAACTTTTATCTACAAAATTAATCTATACTTTCACACCGCTATTTTTTCTACTGTTATATTAAGAATCTACCAATACTATTAAGAGAGTCAACTTTTATAATGCGTAGTATAAAACTTTATCTATAGTAATTATTTTATTTTTTAGAAAGATTATCAATTGAAATAGGAAAATTAAGTAATTTTGAAATTAATTGTATTAAAAAATTATGATCCAAATATAAATATGATATAAATGAAAATAAGTTTTTTAACGTCCATTTTTTCAGAATAATATAAAATGTTTTAATTATTAATTAATAACCGTTAATTTATAATTATTAAGTAGTAAACATGACTATGACATAGCTGAATGAAATGGTTCGTTAAAAAGAAAATATATCTATTAAAAATCAAAGCAAATTTTATAAATTAAAAATATATAAGTATATATATTTCTTCATCTATTGAAATTTGCAAAATAATTTATTAATAAATTCTTTTTTTTCAGTTTTTTTTTCATTGCTTTAGAAAAATATAAAAAAAGTGTTCTAATAAATTGTACAGCTATATTATATCTTAAATTATTTCTGTTATTAAAATTTATGTATATATCTATATTCATCATATGTCGATTGATCTTTTAATATTTTTGTAACATAATGAATCCAATATTCTTGATTAAAAAGTTTTGGACTACCGCATTTATTTATACGATAAGAAGAACGTATGTTTAATATTCAGATGAAATTATTCAGGCAACATAGAACTTTACCCCTGTCAATAGTAATAACATTTACAGAAAAACAGGATTTGCCCTCTTATGCTTTTATACTCAGAAGGTCAAACTGTGACTTTTATCTTATGCTTTCTATATTTCAATTTGTATGTTAAATTGTTATTTTTTAAAATTCATTTATCAATATAGCTTTTGTTGGTGCATAATCACTAATAATCAGATCGATAATCTAAAATTATTTATAGAAAGAATTACATTTATTGTTTTTCTAAAGGTATTGCCATATTTCAGAAATAAAAATTGTTATTTTTCAATATACAAAACCTTGAACGTTTTAAATTTAAAAATTATTTTTACCTTTAAAATTTATATAAATTATTTTATGATACAATATTAATCACTTTACATTGTTAAACTGTAAGACAAATTATAATCAGCAAGTAATAACATTGTAAAGATAATACATAAAATAACTTTTAAATAATAACACTATGTATAAACATACTGATAAACATACATTAAGATTTATAATTTAAAATATTTTAGTATAAAATGACTAACAATAATTAATAAATAGCTATATTATTTTTAAAGTAGTTAAATGTAATATAAACACAAAAATCTTAGAGTTAGATGATAAATGTAAAAGAAAACAAGTGAGCCGACATTCCAGAATGAAGGACTAAGAAAAATGAAAAAAGAACTAATTCCATGTCGTTGATATATACTTGTTGATGTACGGTAATACACAGGGCCCCAGGGCACGAAGGGCGACGTTGGCCCAGTCGGACCACCCGGTCCGCCCGGCGAGAAAGGCGGACGTGGCAAGCAAGGCAAAAAGGTAAGCACCTCTCTCCGCTGCAACTCTCCATACTTATAATACATAATCTTCTCCCAATTCCAAATCTTTTATTTGTTCCTTTGAGCAAACGTACAATTCAACTTCTCGCGAAATTTTTTTCATTTTTTTTTTATTTTACCGTTTCATCAGTAAAAAATTGTCAGTTATATAAAAATATCAGCTCTTTATATTTACATTGCATAAATTGAATAAAATCAATGCGTTTTAATAGATATTCTACCTTGATGGCATAAGTCTGATTAGTTGTATGCACACAAATTTAATTACTTATCTTCTCATTTATTGTAAAATTTTTATTGTAATTATTAAGTACTTTAATTTTTGATAGGAATTATCGCATTACAAATTTAGTGAACATATTTAATAAACACACTGTTTAAATTTTTATATTAACTTCTATATTAAACTTATTTTTTTATGTCTCTACCTTTCTACAAAAATAATCCTTATATTTTATCCATACACTCGTCTTCTATACACCGCACAGTATAAATTCTACAATGCATGCAATTTATATCGAAAGTAAACGTAGTTAATTGCATTAATTGGAATTGATTTTACTAAAATGTGGGCATGTTTGCATGAAATTTTATAATAAATATTAATAAAATATTATCTTAATTACAATTAAGATTGAAGATGCATGTAACTTTACCAGATAGTATTTCGTACTAGAAAGTAAAATCGCACCTATTAATTTGACAATTAATATACAATTTATACAATTAAAAATGAATGGTGAATATTGATTTACGTCAATAAAACTCGTAATAAAAACAAAGTTATATTAAGGTTTCAGTGTGAAAAGAAAGCAGATAAAATTTATTGAAATGGATGAAAAGGTTTACCGATTATGTATATATCTTCTTCAAAACAATTCTTTCAAATTCTTTTAAGTCTTATTCAAGTTAAAAAATTAGTATAGGACAAAATCAAACAGAAAGTCTTTCTCTCTCCCTCTCTCTCTCTCTCTCTCTCACTCTCTATTCAATCTTGTATTCTCTAATTTCTTCAATTTCAAATTTTTATCAACACACGTAAATATTATGACTTAATGCTATAAATTTTTCAAAGTTTCTTACAAATTTAAGTCAAACTTACCACTATGTTCCAAGGACAAAGATTACATCAGTCCTGATTTATAAGTAAAAAGTAAAATATAAATACAACTAATAAACCAGTATACTTGAATAATAACAATCAATAAATGGTTTAATAAATTTAACATTGAATTCTTTGTTTGTCTATCCTTATGATAATCTTTTCTTTTTCAATTATAAGTTTAATTGCGATACTTATTCTATCTTTATTTTGTTATCCATGTACGTATATCCTGGATTTTCATCTTTTTCTTTCTTATCTATGAAGATTGGAATGAAAGCTATTTTATCTTTATTTTATAATAATATCAATTTTTATATTTCCAAATAAAGTGCAACATTTCATTTAATACTCTCGTTTAATAGATATTACTGATTTTGTACTTTTTTAATAAATACTTATTTTTTGAGTATTAATATTCACTTTACTTGAATTGAATAAATGTATAACGAATGTAATTAAGCATTCGGAAATATTCATTATATTCAATAAATACAGACAATAGTATTTTTAAAAATAATAAAATATTATACGATTTTTTTTTTAATGTTTTCATTAAAATCATAATTCTATATAAATATATAGAAATAACATTTTAATAAAATAAAATGTTCAAAAAGAAATTATAAGAACCATTTTAAATTAAAATATAAATAATTATAAATCAATTTTATAAAAATATTCTTTTTCTTGAAATATAAATAAAAATATCTGTATTTATTTTAATTACGAAAAAGTTCTATCATTTCTCCTAATTATTTCTTTGCTCATACTTAAACATAATTGATTTTTAACGTATAGAATAATCAGAAATTCTTTTAAAATTAAATCTCCGAAAAATAAGAAAATGGTAGTCAAAATAATTACAAATGTTGGTGGCAGCAAATAACACATATCACTTATTTTTATTAACTTATGTTTTTCAATATAATACAAATATAATTTCTACTAACTATCTGTATATAAATGTATAAAGAACCAACTTCATTTTTTATAAAAATACGCCTGTATGATGTCTTACTTGTTTTTGTAACCGAAGTCGTATGTGTTTGTTGCACAATCGAAAATATTATATTTTTCTGACAATCTCAGTTCCCGCAGGTTTGTAGGTTTCTCTGTAGGTAAAAGTAACAGCACCAATAACCACTAGACTACCCTACTAGTTGCTGAACATTTGATCCCGCTGCTATAACATTTTGTGTAAGTATTGTATAACCAAGTGTAGAGTAGTATTTATAGGAATAATTTGCACAGAGAGATTTAAATTATTTAATGCTTTTCAATCCGAATTTAATGTTTCAATTTTAAAATAAATATAAATTAATTAATCATTATATTATGTACAATTTATAAACATAAATTATAAAAAATTTTAAATTATTAATTTAATTTTAAAAGCATTATAATAAACTATTTAAGGAATTTAAAATTATTTTTTTAATTATTTATAATTTAGTTTAAATTTGAACGTTTTAGTTTTTAATGAGTTTACTTCAATTACTAACTAATATTTGTATTAGTTAATTATTTTATCTTAATTTTCAAACATTTTACTAATATTAAAAAATATATTAAATTATATTTCCTATTTAAATTTATCAAAACATTGAAACAATTTTATTAATCATAATATTTTATTTAGCTAAAATCTTATTATATATTATAACGAAAGTTAATTACTAACATTTTTTATTTTTAAAAAAATTCATTTTTTAAATACATAAATTTTTTATAATATTAATGAATTAAAAAATTTTGAAATCCTTTTTGAACGAGAAAAATTAATAAGTATATATGATTGTAAAAAGAAATCGTTAACTATTATAAAGTTAACTATTCAAAATATAAAACAATACAATTTGGGAAAACAAAGATTTTTTGTTTCGTTCTTGTCTATTTTCTTTTTTTTAATTTAATATGTTTAAATATCATACATAGTTTAATTTTAAATAATTTAGAGCAACATTTATAATATAGAAAATTTATTGATAATATAAATATTCTCTATGCAAAATTTTTCTGTTTTTTAAAACTCACGCGTGTACAAATGCGTGTTAAAAATATTCTAATAATTTATTTTAAAAATGTTAAGATGTACTTTTTTTAATTGTAATTGATTTAAAAATAATGGAAGAGATAAAATTATATTATATCACTAATTATTAATAAACATATTTTTTTATATATATCGTATAAGATAGATCCACATTATTCGGCTTTTTCTAAATAGGATTAAAAGAAATCATAAATATTTAGTTTTAATTAATATTTATAGAATGTTAAATATATTTTCTTTATTCAATTTTTTATTTTTATTATACATATAATAAGTATATTTTTACAAATCTATAATAATCAATTATTCCATGTATGTATATATTAGACTTGCATTTATATACGCATAAATATAACCAATAATAGCGTGTATATAGAATTTCGATAGAAGCTTTTGTATATAACTAGTTTGATTATGTGGGGTTGAGAATCACAAGCCTCAGCAGCGTATCGTAGCTTGTAACTAATTTGTGTTTATGTAGAAAATAATACCCGTACCCACTACCACAGCACCAAACAACCAACCAACTTCCTTTTATGCGCAAGTCGCGCACATAAGTCGGGGTAAATCCACTAATCACTAATACGCCAACGCTCTACTACATGGCTTTGAGAGTCCATGCGAATTCTTCTCTACTTGATTCAATTCTATGTGTAAGTATTAATAATGTGCTGTGACCTTTATATCTTCATTGAACTTGTTAATACTTTCATTGGATCAACTTTTTTTATTTGCTAAATAAGTGTGATAGTAAGGAAATTTTTATTTTATTTACTAATTTGTATTCAATAACATGCTCATATTTAAATTATGGATATTTTTTTTACTTCATAATTTTAAACTAAAATAACGTGATATAATAATACCTAATAAAATCACGAAGCATGAATTAATTTTTTATTATATTTGATGTTATGGCAATTTATGTATATATACATAAATGTAAGAAATTCTTTTTCTAATATTTTTAATTATTTTTAATTTAGAGAATGAAAGTAGTGCTGTTTGATAAAGATGTATAGAATTAGAATGTGTTGTGAGTCTATTAATGTTTGATATAAAACTAATAAATTATTAATACAATATTTAAATTAATATATATCATGCATTTTTAATTAGTGTGCTTATAATCATATGTTGCGCAACAAACTTACATAATCTTTAAAAAAATTAATAAGCGCTTACAAAATTGTTTTATAATTAATTCATACTTTTTTAATTAGAGAAAATAAATCAAAGAAAAGAAATGTTTTAAAATTAATATATAATAATTTTTTTTAAACTAGAAGAAAATAAACTATAGCATATTTAAATATTATATAAACTGTAATTTAAATATCTTATAAAATTGTAATATGATTATTGGCACTCATAAAATTGTATATAAAATGCATTTTATATACAGAATATTATATTTAAATTTGATAAAATTATAATTTTTAATTAACAAAAATTGAATACAAAAATGTAAAATCTATTGTAAAATCTATCTATATTGTATATCAAGTTTGTTATATAACTATACATTGTAAAATTATGATTATTATTAAGCTACGTATAGTTTTATGATTTTAGTAAAAACAATATAATAGACAAAAATTAATAAATTTAAAAAATTAAATCAAATTTTCATTAAGCAAATAAAAACAAATAAAATAATTAGTAAATATTATAAAAAAATTTCTTAAATAATTATTAAATCATCAACTTTTTCCTTCATAAAAATAGCCATATTTATAATTTTTTATAAATATTATAAATTAAATTTTATAAATTATTATAAAATTTTAATGTTCGTATAAATTTAGTATTTATTACGTATTTAACATTTATATCTGCTATAAAAATATATTACTATAAGTATAATAATTATACTACCTTTTTTGTGGGTTTTGTAATTGTATGATTTTTTAAAGTTTATTATGATTATTATAGTAGTTTAAATATTGTACATATCCTACAGTCTTCATTTTTTTTTCTATACTCTTTCT